GTAAATAAAAAACTTTTATCTTAGCAGCAGGTTTTGCATTTGTTGATAAAACTGTAACATTAACATGTATATGCATTATTTATAACACTAACTTAACTTGTATATGCATTATTTATAACACTAACTTAGGTACAGTTATTTTCTGGCTTTTTAAAAATATGTCAAACTAACAGTTTATAATAGAGAACATTTTGTGAAAATAAACGTATTTCCACTGATTTCATTGATGAAAAGTTTGATATTTTTTATGTGCAATAATTCCATCGTAAGCTGTTACCTCTTTCTGAATATGATACAGCCGACTTTCTGAACAAAAAATAACCAACATCAAAAGGTATATTTACCCAAAACACAAAATCTGAAAGACATTTTGCATATTAAGATCTAATTAGATCAACCACACACATAGGAAGAAGATTACACAGATATTGTTAATCACATGCAACTAAATCATATCATTTAATGCTTCTAATATAAGTAAGATCTTATAAAACATCAAGATCTAATTACACCAATCACATACAGGAAGACAATTACACAGATCTTGCCAATTACATGCATTAAACTTAACATCATTTAATGCTTCTGTTATAAATAAGATAATACCTGGAGATCTGATAAAATCTTATTACTTATAGTTTACCATGAACAAAAAGTCTGAATGACATTTCTCCCTCCTACATATCAGGATCTAATTAGACCAACCAAATATACAGATCTTGCCAGTCAATTGCAGTAAAATAAAACATGGTTCAATGCCTCTATTGTAAGTTAAATATTAACTCTGCAGATCTCTAGAAGTGGGTAAGTTAAATAAAAAGGGGAATATTCCCCATTATCTTTTTTATTGCAACTGCAACAAGAGCAACATGCCAGTGTATCCACAGTTTTTTGTTATTTTACACACTTTTACATTACATCTTGAAAGCTTTTGCCCTTTTACACATGTTGGCTCTTTTTTTTATATCACACATTTATATGGTTGACCCTGTATTTTGAAGTTGGTTGTTTTTGTACGTAAAAATGTTTTTATCAGATATCACTACTTTTTGTTTTGACAATCAGTATCATTTCTGTTACTTTATAGAATTTAGGGAAATATAAAATTTGTGCTCCAGTTGTTATATCACTCTTGTGAGTAATTAATAGTTTTTGTCAATTTATGAGTCCTTATTACATAAACTACAGTGATTATGTTAAAAATTGCACCCATTTTCATACAATATATATATATATATATATATACATACACTTACATACATTTGCTCTGCTCTATCACATTTTTAACCAATCAAAAGCTCAGAATTTTCCCAACATGGTTTTCTCATCTTCTTGAAGGTGGTAATTTCTCAAGATTATTTCTTTTGTCTCCAATTTCGGAAGGAAGGGGTGAGTAAAAATGTTGTTTGAGAAACAATATTTTTAGACCCAAATACAGTTTAGTTAGTAAGCCTGATAAATTATGATCAATTTCTGTTACATTGGTAGAGTAATTTATAATTTTTTGTTAATTTAAAATGCGTATATATAACCTAAAAACGTTTTACATCTTCCACATGCAAAATTCAACAAGGCTTAATATGCAAGTTACGGCAAGCGAGTACAAACTTCTTTATAATCTTAAGTAGTAGAGATCATTGTTTTCTATATATTTCTTTATTTACTGTTTTACATTTTAAGAAAAATAACTGAAATTTAAAAATTTATTTGTAAATAGTAATAACATATATATGTAATGTATTATAACTGAAATGTGACTATATTTAAAAGATACTGGTCAATTAGAAGAAGGCCGTTTTTATACTATTGGATATGCTAACATGAGTGCACATGCGCCACATCATTGCGACTTCTGTAATGTTAGTCAGACATGGCTGAAAGGTCAATAAAATAAATATATATAGATGTATAATGTTATAAGATTTAAGCTATTTAGATTAAACATTTGTGGTTTTGTGTTATAATTTGTAATCATTCTAGAATAAAAAAATGGGTAATTTATATATATTTCCCAGTTTATTATGGTGGTTATGGGGTCTGTCTAATCAACCAAACCAACACAGAGATACAATAGTGAAAATAATAGATAAAATAATTATCTTCAAGTTATAGAGATTTTTAATGTGTAATTTGACAGTTTTTTGAAGCATAAAAGTATTTTTAATCTTAAAATCAAAATTACTTTGCATGTTGGATAGTCAGCATTTGAAAAAAAAATAATGCACAAGCAAATCATTACTTAAAAAAATCTTAAAATTTAACAAAATAAATCAGATATTTTGTGCACAAAAGCCTTGTAATGTTTACTAATGATCTGCAAAATTTCATGAACATATGCATCCTGTTTTAAAAAATTAGAAGTATGAAAACTATAACAAGCACAAAATGGTTATGAGGTCAGTCTCTGGGACCGAGCCTGGTAAAGAGCAAGATGACAAATGATAAAAACAGCAAGCAATATCTTTTTACCAAACTTTAAATTCTTATTTCTCTTAACCTTTAACAGCTATAATCCATTTTACTATGGTACTTTATTTTAAGACTGATTACAAGTAAGATTTCTTCCAAAGTGGGATTTTAACCCCAGCTTCCAGGGGAAGCTATCAACACAAACGCAACATCTTAGACCATTACACCTCTCCATCATTTCAGATTTTCCATGTGCCATTAGGTTTTTAAAGTCCTCAGATCTAGCCTAGTGGCTGTGGAGACTAATTCACCAGTAACAAAATTATCAGAACAATATTCATAAAGAATATCAGTATATATGCTGCAGTGTCAAACCTTAGTTCAAATTAATATTTACCACTGATTTCTTTTGTGCCAGTCCTCCCTTGTTTGCTATATGTTTTGAATGAGTAGAAGTACAATAATTTTACCCCATTTTTGACTGCTTATTTTATCTAAGCTCTGAAAACCATATAATATTACCTTTTTTAATTGTACCCACACATTTCTTTCATTGTATGAAAATCTAAGGACAAAATATGATAGATGAATAAACTTCTTAAAAGAAACATAGGTTGTTCATCACATAAAATTTGTGAAGGATAATTTGAATGTATTCTATCATTGGGTGGGTTCTTTTGGATTATTTGGTAAAAAATAATGCAATTCCAGTCCAGCTGATGATAATAAGTTAGCTTATTTCTTAAATAAGCAAATAATGTTTGTTACAAGCTACATTTCCTATCACTGAACATGCTCACCCTTTCAGTATTCCTATTCTGTCTCACAGCTACATTCACACCACATTTTCTCATGTCCTTTCTCACTACATCCATCCACCTTTTCTTCAGTCTTCCTCTTGTTCCTTCCACTGTAATATTTATCACTCTCCTACCAACATATTCTTTTTTTTACCATATAACTGAGTCATCTAAGGTGAGTTATCTTACCTTCTCCATAATTGTTACTACTTTCACCCTCTCACTAATGGTTTTTTTCCTAATGCAGTCTTTCTTTGACATCTCTGTCATCCACCTCAACATTTGCATTTCTGCCATTTTCATCATTCTGCTCTTCTTTCTTTCTTAAACTCCGGCAGTAAGCCCATACAACATGAATGGTCTTATCACTGCATCACAAATCTTCCCTTTCAG